AGAATGCACTCCGTCATCTGGACAGCGACGCCTGCTGGGTCAACGGGGGACAAAACAACTCCAATCCACGCTCGCCAATAATACGTTGAGTTCGCGCCAATATGCGTCACGGAAGTGCCACACTCCCCTTCGAACACCATGTGCCCGAAGAACCGGCAGCGGCGAGACAAACTCAACGACGTTGTGGTCGGCAATTTTCGGCAGCACTGCGGTCTTCACGCCGTCAATGTCCGTGAGCGCCAAATCGAGCAAATGTGGGCCACGGGTTGGGGAACGAACTACCTGACGCAATCCCATACCAGCGGTAGTTAATCGCAGCTCTTTTCCTTCAGGGTAGGTAAGTGAAGAAAATCGTAACCATGATTTGTGATGCACATTCAAGTCCCCCAGCAACACCCTTCCAATGAACCCCGCACTCAACGCAGCGCATTCTTCAGCACAAGTCGATTTCTGTCGCCAGCTCCGCTGCCAGGCGGTCTGTACCAAGACCCTCTCGCTTCCCAGCTCCGCTGCCAGCTCCTTCTCGCTTACCCCCCTCTCGGGGATGGACAGACCTCCCTTTCGTAAAACGTGGTTTGGTGAAAACGACCTGAGGCCCAAACCAGGCGGGCGCAAGCTTGGAAAACAAGGGCCACGGCACCCTCTCGAGAACCGAAAACGGACAATTCACGAATCGACGCGTCACTGTTGGGGGCTCTGTCCACCCCCGACCCTCTGGAAGGAGAGCAAACGCCGCAGGCACAAACTTCTGGTGTTCCGCGCGGATCTCTTGGATCTGCGCTAGATTTGGACGCCCGAAATGGGTACGGAAACAATGGGTACAATGCCCAAGAGAAAATGTTGTCCCGAACCAACAGCGGCCGCTGTTGGGCGGGCGGCCTCCTGTCTCGAATGGACGCAGGCCGCGGCGGCGCGGACAGCGAGTCCTGTTCAGAATGAACAGAAACTGCTGTTGGGCATCGTACCCATTCTTTCCGTGCCCATCTCGTTCGTGCCGATCTGTCCACCCCCGACCCTCTGGAAGGATAGCAAGCGCCGCAGGCACAAACTGCTGGCGCTCCACGCGGATCTCTTGGATCCGCGCTGGTTACCAGCCTGGAACATATCCCTATCCCTATGCTGGGCATCTCCTCATCACGATGCCAATCTTGAGGACTCCCCTGACTTCTTGAGGGCGCATCCCTAAGATAGTCATCGCTTTTTGGCGTGCCAATCTTAGGGATAGGGGTACGTTCGAGGCTGGTAAGCTGGACCCTTCCCCCCCCCCGTGGTGCGCGGGGAGCGCGCCCGGGGCGGCGCCGGGGCCTCGGGCGCCGATCCGGGAGATCCGCGCGGAGCGCCAGCAGGTTCTGCTCGTGGCGTTGCTGCTCCTCCTTCGTCTCGCTCCCCCTCCTCCTTGGTCTTGCTCCCCCTCTTCCTTTGTCTTGTTCCTCCTCCTCCTCCTCCTCCTCCTTTGTCTTGCTCCTCCTCCTCCTCTGCCTTGTTCCTCCTCTTTTGGTCTTTCCTCCCCCTCTTCCTTCGCCTTGTTCCTCCTCCTCCTGTGCCTTGCTCCTCCCCTTCCTTTGTCTTGTGTCTCTCCTCGTCGTCTCGCTCGCTGCCGGCTCTCTCCTCCTAGCGGTCGTCTTCCTCCTCCCCTCGCGGGCAGGGCGCGGCCGGGCCCAGGACGCGGGCGGGGCCAGGACGCATGGACACCTTGGTTGGCGTTAAAAATGGCCTGGGCATTTTTTCCCCATTTCCAACTTTCCGCTCTTGGAGAGCTGAAAGTCACGGTCGGTCGGATCGGATCGGGCACGGTTTTTCTTTCCAACTTCCGACACGATCGGATCGGGCACGGCCAGGCCAGGTCCCCGACGGTCAGGTCCAGGCCCAGCGCGACGAGGCAAGACGAGACGAGAGGACAGAGGCAGGCGAGAGCAGCCCAGGCGGTGCGAGCGCAGACAAGGGCCAGACCTGCCAAGATGCAGACCAAACCGGCCCAGGCTGAAGCCGGAAAAGAACGAGAAAAGGCCAACCCGTAATCAGAACACCCCCCCGATTCGGACCAGACTGAACAGAACCAGACAAGAGCAGACAAGACCAGAACGACCCAAGTGCGCCATCGCATCGCTAGCAACATGTCGTTAATCTGGTGTTTATCTTACTTCTATGTGGGGCCAAAAAACTCGCGTATCGACCATGTGGGGTAATATCAACCATCCCCCGAAGCCGTCCATCTCAGTGGCGTACCGAAAATGTGGATCCTTCACATGCGCCTGTTGAAAACGGCCAGGACGTCCAAGGGAGGCCCTCCTCCTCCTCCGCTGACCACCGCTGATGTAGCTATTGCTTACACTCCTGAAACTCGGAGACATCTCACAACCATGTCGCCATCCCAGTGAGACCTAGACACCCCGGAACCATCTCAGAACCATCGCAGCCTCGAGAGGCCCAATGTTCCGGGAACCCATCGCTGAGACAGCTCCGATGCTGGGCGGGCACGTGGCCGAGTTCGCAGAAGGCAGCTGTGTTCTCCGGTACGCACTGCGCAAAGCAGGCGCTCGAGGTCAACACAGCAGCGAATGCGCGTGGGCCCAGCCAGCGTTCTCACAAATGGAATACAGGCGAGCGACACCACTAGGGCACGGAGCAGTTGCATGTCCATCGTCACTGCGCGAGCACGCAGGCCCAGCAGGGTTCTAAGGAGCATGGTGAACGTGCGAGCCTCGCTTCGAAGCAGTGTTCCACTATCCGCCATCATGCCTTGAGAACGTTGGAACGCGTTAGAATCATCTCCTGCTGTCTGGTACTGCCTCTCACGTGCTTCCTATGACCCATCCAGTCCCCAACTCGCCGTCCACTCTGGGGTTGCATTTTCGGCGCTCTGTTCGGCCGTCGAAGACGGCTTCCATGATGCCTTCAGGGTGACCCACGATGCCTCGAAAAAACACCCCCAGATTGTCCCAAGACGGCACAAAGGGTTGAGTATGCCTGGGAGGCCAGGCCTAGAGGATCGGGGCGCAGGGCGCTCGGGAAGCGTGCCACTTCTTCAATCTGCAATGTCTGCTTGCAACTGCCCGCCACTCAGCACAAGAGGCTCCAAGAAGCCCTCAAGGATGCCAGAAGAGGCCGAAATCGTTGATGTCGCATCTATGGTTTAATGGTTCTCGCGGTCCTGCCTTCTCGGGCTTCCAGACGACCCCCGAGGCTTTCAAAGCAACAACCCGGGATGGCCCCAAGACGGCCCAAGAGGCCCCGAAGACGGCCCCAAGAAAACTCCAAGACGGCTTTATAAGACATCTAAGACGGCCCGAAATCGCCGCAATAGGGCGCAAGGCAGCCCAGAGAGGCCCCAGAGGGCCTTCGGAGGCATCAGACGGGCCAAAGGAGCACTGAGACGGCCCAAGAGGCCCCCGGTACATTCCAATGTGGCTCCAAGATGCCCGCCAGGAGGCCCACAAAAACCACAGCCATGGATGTCCAACGGTTGTTCCAACTGATTTACTGTCCCTGCCTTGCTCGGCTTCTGCCATACCAAGACCGCTCCAGAGGCCTCCAGAGGCTCCCAAGACGGCCCAAGGCCCTCCAGACGGCCCTAAGAGGCGTCCACGGCGGCCGCAGTCGCCGGAAGAACGCCCCACAGCAAACCAGACTGGCCCCCAAGACGGCCTCCCAAGGCGTCAGGCGGGACAACAGACCCCGAGGACGGCCCAAGAGGCCCCCGATGCAACCCCAGGGGGCTCCAAGATGTCATCCAGGCTGCCAAAAGAAGCCCAAATCATTGATGCCCCACGGTTGCCCGTGGTTCTCGCAATCCCGCCTCGGGCTTCCGACAAGCCAGGTCGGCTCCATGGGCTTCCAAAACTGCGCAAAAGAGGCCCCCAGGACTGCCAAAGAAAAAGGCACCCCAAAACGGCTCCAGGAGGGCCCCACGAAGGCCCACGAGGCCTCCATGACTGCCCGAGCGCGGTCCCCAAGGCAACCCAGAAAAGCCTCCAACACGGCATCCGATGGTGGCAGACGGGCCAAGGGATACGATGCTCGAGAAAGTCCCTCCGGGAGGACCCCGAGAGGCCCCCAAGAGTCTAGGGAGCGAGGTCGAGTTGAAGACTCGATCGGGTTCAGACCGCGTGCTGAACTGCAGTGGGTGTTCACGTCAATCCCCTTCAGGCTACACTGCTGCGCTGGCAAAGTTGCGGCAGGCAGCTGGATAGGTAGGCGCTCACCTCAAACATGTTACTAGATCGCTCCCACGTTTGGGAAACGTGTACGTCGTAGAGGCGCGGTTCCACCATAGATGCCGAATAAGGTTTGGAACACATTGGGGCATAGCCGCGTTAAAGATGGGGGGCTTGGCGCGCACGTGCATTTCATGATCTCATGTGCTTTCTTCATGCGGAGTCCAGCCATCAACTCAATTCTCGCACGGGAATATGCCGTACGCCCGTGCGTCCATGTGCGCGACCACAAGAAGGCTCGATCGTATTGTAAAAGAGAGGCGGGCACGAAACCTCACCTTCTAGATGAACCCTGTTGAACCAAGGCTGACCTCGCTCATCTGCTGAGCGTTTCTGTTGCAACCAGACTTATGAAGGCCTGTGCGATTGCACGCTGTAGAGGCCCTATCAAGCGGCAAGACACGCATGCTCAGCCGTAGCTGCTCTGCTGGAAGGATGCGTGTCATCGCTGGCGCCAGCTGGCCGCACAGGTTTCTGCAACACCGGGGCTGCCATGGTTCTGAAGGGGATGTGAGCAGTAGCGGGCGCATGTGGGAGCATGTCGATGACCACACACGCTGGCTTCAATCGCAAACCAGTCAGGGTACAAGGGGGTGACCACCTCGCCGGCGACGCGCAGCCTAAGCGTGAAGGTTGGTGCGTAGGGGGACCTTCGAACGGCCTCACCCCTGCCGAAACACCCAGCACGCGCACATGGGTTGTAACCCGGGGAGGTGTGAGCAGCAGCGGGAATGGCGGAAGAAGAAGACGGGAGAGAGCTGGGCCCCACCGATCGGGGCAAGGGGCCTTCGCGTAAGCCCACGTGGAGTTGCCCGCGTCGAGGTCGTCAATGATCCACGTGGCGGTCAAGCTGACCCGCGGGTCGACCTGGCGGCGTGAATGCGACGATCGGCCCGGGGACAGCCCCCCTTCGGTCAGCCTTCCGCCTACCCCTTTCCTCCCCTTCCTCCACCTCCTCCTGCCTCTCCTTCCCTTTCTTCTTGTTCCCGACGGCACCGATACATGACAGCCGCAGCGACGCTGAATTACCATGGTGAGAAGTTGGAGGATTTGGAGGGTAAAAAAGGAGGTCTGCAACAGGGGGTCTTCAATGGGGGCTGAATGGCCCATGTATGCTCAATGTATCGCCCGTCTGTTCCCAAAAAACCAAGGAAAAAAGCGAGAGGGGACGGCTCCTTCGAGATGAAAGGCGGGTGCGCATTCTCGACAGCATCCAAACGAGCCTGCACAAAGCCCTGCTTCTGGCAAACGGGCTCAACATTATCGGACATCTCCTTGATCTCACGCTGTTTGGCGGTAACCGCAACGTTGGTCGCGGACAGCTTCCATTCGAGAAAGCTGCTATTCAAGCGACTATCTGCTTAATCGAGGTAAGATCAAGAGCCATGGTAGCAACAGAGCTGAGAGAGGGAGACTGGTGTTTGCACACTCAACAGGATAAGAGTGGCTGCGAGGGCCCCTGTGGCCAAGGCTCTCAAACTATGCACTCGGCTGCGTCCAAGCTCGAAGCGCCAAGCCTCACGTTCCGAACTTGAGCAAAAACGGCTACGGAAGAAGATGATGATGATGATGACGACGACGACGGCGATGACAAACGATGATGTTTGTATTGCTGACTCAGATGACGATGACGACAAGGAATATGGGCATGATGGTAGTGATGATGCGAATGGTGATGGCGATGATGGTGATGATTCTGATGATGGGTTGCTCTGAGCGGCCCGATGTTGGCGCTCATGACAGCCGATGACCGGCAACCCCGCGCAGTCAAGTCCAGTCAGTGTGCGAGTTCCACCCTGAAATGGAGGAGGGGGAGGCCACAGCATCAGCTACGTGCGATGATTGTTTGATGATGAGTCTGATGATGATACGAATGGCGATGATGATGATGGTGATGGTGATGGTGATGGTGATGGTGCGTGATGTTGATGAATAGTATTGTGATGCTTCGTACGATGGCGATGTTGGTGGTGACGGTCATGACGATGCCTATGATGATGTTGGTGATGATGATGATGATGATGATGATGATGATGATGATGATGATGATGATGGCGGTGATGACGACGGTGATGATGATGGTGACGATAATGATGGTGATGATGATGAATGTGCTGAAGATGACAATGGTGACCATGATGACGATTCCGATGCTGATGATAATACTGATGTTGTTCATGTCGGCGATGAGGCTGATGCTGCTGCTGCTACTGATGATGACCAGGACGACGATGACGATGATGATGACACGCGGAGAGCAGAGACGCTGAGAGGAGCACGGGAGGGGGCAGCGGGAGGTGGGAGTGAGACGCGGGACATTGTCTCTTCAAAGCGAGGAACCAACACCACAAGATGGTTGGGAAACAAATGGGCACTGCGAGTTGGCTGGGTCCCGCGTGCACCAGCGCCCATCCCATCACTGCGAGAACTGGTTACATGCCGCGCGGTATCCTACTCTTCCTCCTCCCCCTCCACGAGGGGGGGTGAATGAGAGAAAAAAAAAATGGGAAGGTGGAGCGCCTCCATCCTTCTTCTTTTCCTCGCCCCCCTCTTCGTCATCCTCCTCTTTCTCCCCAGGAGGGGGCGCCAGTATGAGGATGGTGGGGCAACCCTCCCTCATTTCCACTCCGCCAAGCTGATGATGACGGGGGAGATCAATCGGAGGGTCTGGGTGGGGGGGTGGGCGGGGGGGGGGGGGGCGCATCCATCCCTTTTCCCCCAAAAAGGAAACGGTAGGCAGGGGGGGGAGGAGGTGACCAACAAACAGTAGGAGGGTAGGCATCCTGGAGGAGGGCATCAGGAGCAGCAAGAGCATGATAAAACGACAGCCATCGTGCGTGGCGGAATATACCACAGTGCTCGTGCGGTGGAGCCATCCGTCCTTCCTCCTTTTCCTCCTCCAAAAGCGACAGGAGAAGGGTAGATGGTCAGTATTGGGATGGATACCTGTGTCTTCTCGTACTCAGACGCACAAGGAAGAAGAGCAGGAGTGGAGACCTGGACATCTGAGGACACATGGAACACGCGAGTGAGAGTGTGCAAGAATTTGCCACCAACTGCCCGCGAGCGAGGCAACGCTCGGCGCTCACATTCCGAAGCACTTAACGCTGTGACGTTACAAACGGTGGAACTCTGCCACTCGCGAGCACCAGTGCCTGTGACAAAGACCTCTCTACGTTAGCTCTTTTCCGACTTGTGTGCGCCCACATATCTAGATTTCTAACGTGACTCCCCCTTCACTTGTTTTCACGTGGCTGCTACACCTGCTTTGCCAACCTGATGCTCCCAACGGCCTGCGCATAGAGAGCGCGCGCGCGCTTATCTAACTCAGCCGGCGTGACAATCCCAGGGAACTCCACGGCCTGCGGAAAGCGCTCTGGCTGCTCCATCACTGTCACAGCGGTTGACACTTCTGCTTCAATAGAGGATCAAAACTTCATACTCCGAGTTTCTGAAAAAGCGTCGGGGGGGCGTCACCCCCTCCGAAAACCCCACATCGGCCCCCGTCGCGGGCAGCCACCGCGTGCCGAAGGCGCTCCGACGCCCGTCGCGGCGCGACGACGAGGCGAGGTTGACCCCTGTCGGGGGTTTACCCCCCACGCCTATCAAGAAACCCAGAGTACACTTTCAGGGGCCCGCGCGGATTCCTTGGATCTGCGCTGGACCACCGTCCCTGGCGCGCAGAGCCCGCCAGGGGCGGCGCCAAGGACGGCGCCGGAGGCGCAACGCCGGAAGGGTTCCAGCGCCGATCCAAAACATCTGCGATGCCCCTGAACCGTCCGCCCCGTCCGTATTTTCCTTCGGCCGCGTCCCTCTTCCCTCCTCCCCTTGCATGGTTGCACAATTCGCTCCTGCGGAACCCCCGTATATGCCTTTCATCGCCAGCGCGGTCACCCACTGCCTGGCCGCCAACGCTGAAAGCAAAGTATGCAACTGTTTGCTCTTCGGTGCAGCTGGCTCATGGCACCTGCAGCCCAAACTATGATTCTACGGGGGAGGGGTTTCCCTACCGGGAGACACAACGCACGGGGGCGAGTAGGAGGAGGAAAGTGTAAGGGAGGCGGGAGAGGAGGAGGAGGAGGAGGGCGGAGGGAAGAGGAGGAGGAGGACGAGTGAGGGGGAGGGAGGCACGACACTTCGCATTTGTCATGTGGGCCTCAAGAGGAACATCTTTCGGCCTGCTCAAGTGTGCAGCTGTTTGCT